GTTATATATGAGTTCAGTGATACATTGAAAGAATGGTATTGAAACCAACAGATGTCGAAATACGTATCTTAAACGCCACCCAAGGAAAGACGAGAGCTGGGATACTGCTAAGTTGCCCAGGCCTAGAGTTGAGTCCATATTAAACAGGTTTTTAGTTACAGTTATATATGAGTTCAGTGATACATTGAAAGAATGGTATTGAAACCAACAGATGTCGAAATACGTATCTTAACCTACGTTCTCCTGGTTAACAGAGGTTGTAAGTGCTGGACATCTTGTACACACACACATACACACACATGAAGTTGACTCTGGGACAGCGCATAATGCATTCTTCAGAGCTGTCATGGTGAATCGGGCTTGGAAATGTTCAATACCACAGATTGAGTTGGCCACAAGAATTCACAGGTGTGAATTTGGCGTTCAAAAGTGTTTGGTTTCAGCAAGTCGTTTGACATGGCCTAGTTCGTCCGCTCATGTGTTGGTAAGGTCACGCGAAAGGTACAATCGACTAATCCTTGTAAACCATGATCTGACCCCCGGAAATTCCAACCCTCCAGCCCCTTACATACTCGGAACGCTTGATTTGTTGTTTTGAATACATACACCTCGCGGTCTAAGCTTGCCTGTATACATGAGACCCTGACGACCAAGTAGGGGAAGAGTTTCGTTTGCTCAGACAAATGACTGTCCCTGATCCACCATTGAGGCGAGTTGTATTGAATCAATAGTCGGGTATTTTCATGAAGGAAATTACTTACAGGGTTGCTGAGCCCCAAGAAGAGCGAAACTGGTCGCGGGCTGTCGAAGAGTTTTCAGCAACCTTGCGAGTAGTTTCCTTCATGAAAATATACTGCGATATCTCGAATATCGTACCAACCGAAACATGAGGTGGCCTGTGTGCAGCACATTCAGTTGTAGAACATCATAAACGAGAGATTCAGTTGAGTCTCCTTGTGAAAACAAAATTGATTTGCAAATGAGTGTATACCTCGAAAATAGTCGGGTATCTTGGCGAAAGACGAGGAGGTAAAGAACAAACTACAAGATCTTGTGAGCCTCATCAAAGCTAGATTTTTATGCACAATACAAAGCATTTTCGCTGACTGTGGATGTTATTTCCAAAAAGCCAAATTAAGTGCACTTTCCACAGTGAACGGAGCGGAATAAGAAACCCGCGGGCATCTTGAAATCAGCTATCTGTGCCCCGTGTACTTCCCGTTTTGAGCGAGGAAAATTGAATAGCAGTGTCACTTTCTCACTTGCGCAAAGTTTACCGAATAGACCGCCGCACAAGTAACAAACCGCCGCAAATGGATGTCGGTTAGGAATTCGATAAATCCCTCGCCTGTGAACCGAGGTGAGAAGTGTAATCAGGAATCGGATGGCGAGTGGCTTCATCCACAAGTGGACGAAACCTAACACTCCTTTGAAGAGTATGGTAACAAGAATCCGTCTAAAGAATATACCACAGCAAAGCACATCTTCGAAAAGTACATTTAGCCGGTGAATGGACTGATTATGAAAATTCTTGTGAGTTCATCCTTGGAAGAGGTGTACATGACTTTTGCTTCTCTAAATACTCAAGTGAAAAAGTCAACCATCTGTCAGGAGAACATACCGCAAACGCTTCCAACAGTGGACCTTTTTTATCGTCCGTAAGGGTCTCGTTCTCCAGTGCGATAGTATGAAGCTGGTATAATGCTTGGTGAGCCGAATGGCCCTCGAGGAGTATGTTCTACACAAAGAAAAAAGGGCAGTGGAGTAAGCGCTATGTGGAACATGAAAAGAAGTTTATCTAGTCGAAACTGAAAAAAATCCGAACGATAAATTGCGAGGTCAGGCAGCTACTAGAACGATTCGACATAAAATTTCGTCTTCAAAATTTACAGAGCACCCACTGCTCGCGCACGATTGCCCACGTTGTCCCAGAAAAGTCCAGTGATTCGTTTAAATGAACCTAATATCAGGTCATACGCGATTAACCCTTGGGTTATCATTTGGGATCCAAGAGCTCTGTACAAACCCTTCGCTCTGTAGGGAATTTTTCTCATGTCTAGCGTAAGTGTTGTCTTGTGTATATACGGTGGTTGATCTGTGATATGCCGGCATTCTTCCACGTTTTGTCACATCGCGGTACGACCGCAGAGCAATTGGGAGCTTTCTAGAAAATGAGCGAACTACTAGTGCCTTCACAACAAACGTGCACAAGAGTTGTTCCTGCGGGTACGCACACAGTACCGTCGTTAGTCCGCAAGATTACAGAGCCAATCGAACGTACCTGGCTTAGAGACCCGATCGATTCGTCCAGATGACCTGATAGTACCCGAGCACTGGTTATTACAATCCCACAATTCGTGTAGAAATATAGCTGATGGAGGTTCTGGAGGATCGGTTTGCATCGAACTGGTGGGTCATCGACATATAAGTTGAACAGATCTTGTGGTAATCATTCCATACACATTGCCTCAATCGAAAGTTAATATTGCCCATTACTGCGTGAACATCCATCAAAATATATGGAAAACAGACTGTTGTGTCTTGCTGAACGGTTGTGCAACTCTGTATCGGTCCCTTGGTTTCCTGCTCCGCCCACTATGGTGTATCAAAAGGCACGGTAGCTCTACACGGCCCTTTATGGAGACAAAGGAAAATTATCACAACTGTATTTATGGGGCAGTCACACAGTGTTCCACAAGGTCGTGCCAGAATCTCCGTGAGGGGGCGAGAAGCGTCGAGTCAAAGATGGTCGACCCGGACTGGCTGGCATTCTGACCAATCAGGGCATGCCTTCGTTTGGTCCGTGTCCTGCACGTGACACATCCGTCCAAATGATGTGATGTTCGGTCATTGGGGACGGCTGGCCTCCGGACACAAACCAAATCCAACCTTAATGAAAATTAACTGATCTATCCGTTCACACCGCCTAACTGGACGGAGGTTGTTACCTTCTCTAATCCTTATGGTTTGATCCGGCTCAGCCAAATTTTACCTCAAGGCATGGGTCTGCAGCAGAAGGCCAAACACGGAAGCAGGTGAACGAGCGGGAATTTCCTCACTCGATTTAGTGTGTAGCTTTCCTAGCACAGAAGCGGTCGTGGACCCCTAGAAGAGCCACATGGCTGGACATCAGTAGAATTCAGGGTATGTCGATTGACCTTTCACTCATCGGGATTCCGCCAGGGAGAATTATCAGTTAAACAGAGAAAGATGAAACTGAAATAACTGCAGCACGCTTATTGTGTAGACTTGCGCGTAATGACTGGCGAACCAGCCACAAACGCTTCATATTCCTAACCTCATGGTGACCATTGGGGATTAGACACTAGTTAGGAATCGCTACCGATGTTTGTCGGAAGATGGCAACGAACACCGTGTGGTTCCGCCGGGGTATGAAAGTTGGACAGCGATCGCGTGCTTAAAAGTTATTCTGGCGAAAACGTAGACTCCTTGGGAGAGCTCGAAATAGCTTAGTGGTTGAGGTGTGAACCTACTGACCGGAACACAGTCTCGCCACTTGAACTACTGCTGCCTACTCTTAGGCAACTTGGCAATAGCTTAGCCCTCGTGTTTCCTTCGGATAGCATGGCATTAAGGCACCGAAAGGATGTCACTAACCGGACTCAAACTAAAGCCATTGTCAAGGAGGTAGCAACTGACAGTCCTTTCACACGTTGCCACTCATTCAAATACCAACCTGCATTTCGATTCTTCTCAAAGATCTCGATCGTGCTACAAAGCTTTAGTTGCATCGACGACACAAGTCTTGTAAAAGTGTCACTCCTCCGGAGCTTGGATGAACCGAAAAGGGATGTGCACTTTCCACTCCAATGCAAATGAGCAGGTCAATTAGACTTGTCAACTTGGAGCGAAAAATCGGTTCCGTGTCCGACAACCACACAAGTATCAAAGTGAGCAGTTTACTGGAGGAAATGGCAACGATGCCGATGGACCGTTTGAAAGATGAAGCATCACTCAAAAGAATCCCAGGCTTGAAATCATCCTACAGTTTATCTACTCGAGAATATTGGAGCAGAACCCACAGAGTCGCTGCAGAACTCTCACATCTCAGGAACGGAGAACAGTTATTGATGCAGTCGTTGCAAGAACCTGATAACCGTCATCCACGATTGAAACCCCGTTCGAAAACCTTGATTTTAGACGTTCGAATGAACCGCAGATATTCATGAAACGAGGAAGAAAAATTTTCAGTCTCGATCCCGGTATGGCTTGCATACAAGCTCATCTATTTGGATGCTGTCATTAACACATGTTGAGTGCCAGCGCCGAGTGTACGAGGTCGAGATGACTCAGTGGTTAAGGTACGAACTTACTGATCGGTATCAACCCAACCCCGACACCTCGACTGCTCCTGTTTGGGCTCTGGAAACTTGTCACTATTCCAACCTTCTGATGGAATGTCAGCTAAAGACCAAAAGGTGTTTCAGCTGAGCGATTATTCTTTTTTTCCATGGCCTAGTGCTATTAGGTTTATACAGTTATCACACAGCTACCACTGCGCTGTTCTGCGATCCTAATGGCCTCGGCTTGAGTTCTAATTTTTCGTATTTCGGTTGTAATTTCACAAACGCGCCGTGAAAGACACAAAGTCGGATTAATTTCAGGTTGAGCAGGGTTCCTGGAATTTCGTATATCATCATAAACGCTAGGACAGTGGAACACAGAAGGTGCACGAAGTAAGCGGTAATTTGGATAAGAGAGGTACGGCAGATGAAGAAAGATATGGAAAAGTAGGAGCTAACTAATTTGCGAGAAATAGGCAAAGTCAGGTAAGCAAGTCGAAACTAAGTAGGGCAAAAGAGGAAGGATGTTGCGGAAACATCGTAACATCCGCCTCCAAGGCAGGCGATCCGCTACGTGGCACCTACGCGAGTTGATAAACCTGATGGTTACAATCGATGAGTCACGACCCCGCACAACTGACTCACGTCTTCCAGGCACAAGTGCACACGGTACAAACGTATCATCGAAACACTTACTTTTATCTGCAACTGCAAATCATCAAACCGACCGGCAGTTGCGGCTTTCAGCAGGCTGTTGATCATCTTGTCAGGAACAACTGCAGCCACTTCATCGAAATGATCCTTGGTGACGGTCCTATTGACCGGATGCCAAAGTTGACAAACGCTTTGTAGCATTGTGATGGCACGTCGCAGGTCACCGTGGGACAGTTGGAGCACATGATCGAGAACCTGATTTGAAGCACAAAAGATTTATGGGTGGCCGGATAAGGAAGAGTTGTTCACAAACGAAAGCCAAGTTGAAGCGAAACAGCAGATGCAAAGGATGATATTCAATAAAGATGACACACTCGTCTAACTACCCGATTCGCAACCAGAGACATCCATAGGTGGGTTTTTTGTTGTTGAGAGCAAGCGTTGTTAGTTTACGATATAGAGGAGTTAAGCATCAAGAGGGTGCGCTTTTTGGATCTTGACTGGAGTAGGTCTAGTGTAGCGCTACCTGAAAAACAAAAGATTAGAACCTTGGGTATCAAGCACGCCACTCTTTAGCACGAATGAAACACCAGTGAGCTCCATCCATAGGGGGTTTTTTGTTGTTGAGAGCAAGCGTTGTTAGTTTACGATATAGAGGAGTTAAGCATCAAGAGGGTGCGCTTTTTGGATCTTGACTGGAGTAGGTCTAGTGTAGCGCTACCTGAAAAACAAAAGATTAGAACCTTGGGTATCAAGCACGCCACTCTTTAGCACGAATGAAACACCAGTGAGCTCGACGTAAAAATATCCACTCACAGGACTATCCAGTACAGAAAGCAGATTCCCCAAGTAAGAATAGCACATTAACACAGCAAGGAGACAACAGTCCCGAAGTAGGACAAGGTTTACCACTAAACGAGTGTCATGCAGGTGGGTCAGTAATAATCAGTAGAAAATAGTTGAGTGATCTCTAGAATGCGTAACAAGCGAGAAGACAATGTCTTCTTTTGCAAGCAGTGTTCGCAAGAACTAACTTGTCTGGTACCCCAACTAAGGGCCAAGCTTTTCAGGAATAAACTGAATCTTAATAGACCACTTTCGGTTCAAATGACGGACCAAAAACCTGTGAGACGAAACGTCCTCCTTACTCACATGTCTGCTGAATTTACCATATGAACAAGCCAGTTAATACTCAACTGACCTGAAATGTGAGCAACAATCGTGCGACCGGTGTTCACGTTCCTGCTAGACTATCACTGAAACTTTCAAACCGACCACCTACGTCTATTTGGTGTGCTTGCCAAGGCCTGAACAAGTACTGGACTTAGCTTCTCTCTTATAAATCGCTACTCAGGAGAGCACTTTCAGAGGAAAGGTCGCTCCTTCAGAAGATGGTCAACATTCCCCGTCCGTCAAGACTTAGTTTGGCATTCCACCAGAAAGGAGGCTTGACAGCTCGCTTTCCCTCTTCGGAGGGATTAATTTATGGCGTTATCCGGGACAGTCTTCATCAAGACGAAGATCGAAATCAATAGACCATCTTCAAAGCACGGATAGACAACGCTAGTACACGACAGCAATCAATGAATTCCTGTTGTAACAGAAGAACAACTCAATCTGAACATGAGAACTCCCATGTGTGAAACCGGCAAAAACAGAGATACCTCGTCTTCAATGTCCAAGCGTTCCTCATCACAAATGTGACGCAATCGATCTCGAGCGACTTCGTTGTCCAGTGGACGGAATCGAAACTTTGCACAGCGACTGGTGATCGGGTCGATGATGCGAGTCACGTAGTTGCAAGTCAGACAAAAACGGGTTGTTCGCGTTTCTGTTTCCATCGTACGTCGAAGTGCTGCCTGAGCATGAAAAAGTGTATTAAAACGTGGTGACATTTATTCCGCTGAACAAGTAAGACTGGCCGATACCTCATAAAACCGGACCACATAACCTACGGCCTCAGTTATGCTAAGTGATCATGAAAAAAGCATTTGCAACCAGCTGTGAAGCGTTGGTCTACAATTACTTGGATTTAACTCGTTAAACATGCTTGAGCGATAACTGGATAACACGTTCGTGGAGTAGTGGTTACACGCTCGCCTCGCATGTCAGATGTCCGGGGTTCAAATCCCGGCACAGCCATTGGATATGCACTGCTGATGAGCTCTAATAAGAGCGAAACTCGAGTCCAGTGCTTCCCTTTGGCATGGACTCACCGGAATAATTACGCCCAGAACAGGAACACGGCTGTTCAAACGAAAGTGGTGTGGCTATGGATAACAAGATCCTTCAGCACCAGCGTTGAACCAGGCTTGCACCACAGGTGAACCTGACAATCGCTGAAAGACCAAGGAGTAGTGGCATGTCCTAGTTTGGCATCGGGAGCGGCTGTATCCTGGACGATCCGGATTCGAACCTGCGTTGCATTCACCACAACGGTCAGTGTGTATACTTTCGTTTGAACAGGGGGAACGCCCAAGGAATGATGACTTCTTTGTTACGCTCTACTGAATGTCCAGCTTCCACCAAGTTGCGACCACCCAGAGCATTGCGGTATCATTATTTTACACTCACACAAGCCTCTCTGGCCTCTCAAGGTTTCACGCACTGTATAATAAGACGGTGGAAGTAGAAAAGCAGTCTTCGGATTATGACACGGACACACGGTCCCGACTGACCGCTCTTACAGCTGCCTTTGGCGTTCGATATGAATTGTGTAACGAGGATATATGGGAACACAAGGACTGATTTCTAACCTTGAGCTCTGCTCCACTACAGTAGACGACTCATTCCTGAAACGAGTAACCAAGTCAACCTGTATTTGTCCGTTTTGAAGAGCCAGTAACAGACGCACCTGTCCGACCTCTGCATAACCAATATGCACACTAGTAGGACCAGCAGTCACACTGACGGAGAAAAAGTACTGAAAGCAAATCTCTTGCGGTTTGCACTTTTAAGTCATTCCCAACCGTGTGAACGCTCTGAAACTGGGTCAGTTTAGAGCATGAATGTATCACCGAGAAGACTCCAACAATCTTGTCTGTTGGTCACGTTTCTGACTCAGAAAATTGGTTTAGATCGAAAACTACCGAGGTACGAGGTCACCGAAAAACGGTTCGTGGTTCAGAGCCAATTCCAGCATCCCGACAGCTCGTGTCGAGGCTTAGGAAACCTGGTAATATCTCAACCCTCGCGCTTTATTCGAGTGGCATGGCGGCCGGGCACCGAAGGGTTTCACAGCTGAACGATTTTTAGATGTCTATGAAACGAAAATAAAGAGGGGGATGCATCACAAGTGGAGCAAATAAGCGTGGAAATGTACCTGTGCTGGAGCAGTCATTGAATCCGCTTCATCCAGTACGATGAGTTTGTAAGGGGGGATTTTTGCGGATGACCCCATGCCAGTGCCACTGCTCACAGCTAGGTGGGCGAACGTCTTGACTTTTTCACGAATCACATTAATACCACGCTCATCACTAGCGTTCAACTCTAACACACGCTCTGAGTACAAGGGGCTGTAAAAAAACACAAACAAGAAGAATTTAATGCGAGGTGAAACTGGTGGATAGGCTAGGTCTAGTACAGTGAGTCCCAACTACAGTCAAAGTCTACCTGTTCCCAATACCAACTTTGAGTCTGTTACACTTGACGGTTCGTTGTACTCATATGAAAAAACGGAGTGTCAGTACTCGGAATTAAGCGCTTATTGGCAAACTAAGTGCTGACGGGGAACTCAAATGAGTCTCTAGTTTAGGATTCTCTTGAACCGAACGGGGTGGTGGAGGGTGTTGGGATTACCCTAAGTAGTGTATTATATGAGGGTGTAAATGCTACTTCCATACAGAAATGCACCTCTTAAGCAGGAAGACTTTAGGGAGGTTGACAGCTACTAACTTAGGAAGCCGGAAAACAATTCAAAAATTAATAAATTGGACCAGAAGCATTCAGGCGGGATGGACCATACAGACAGCCATCAGGACAAAAGATGGATTGCACTACGAGCATCACCAAATAAACTTGGTGTATAAAATCATTATCAGTGTGTCTTCCGAACATCGCGGTCATTCGAACCCACAATCTTCAGCAAAGGGTTTGAAGGTTCTATCTCGAAGCCCAATACTTGCTGGTTACAACGTTGCCTGACACTCAGCAACATGCAGGTGTAGAGTGTAGCTGTATCTCAACTTCAAATACAATCGGCAAATTCTCGAGGGCGATTTACATAACGCCAAGTATATCTAGGCCTAAAATGAATCTCTCTCCCATTCACCATCATGACTAGTCTCCAGGGTAGTTCATAAAAAGTTCGTTTTAACTCTGGCCTGTTGAAGGCACCCTGAACTGTCCAGAATCACCATCTTGAGCGATGGTCTGAACGCTTCAAGCAGTTCAGGTAATCTCCTGCAATACAACATCTGGAGGATCTTGACAAAACTGAAAGGAACATTCCAACGAGTCTACCATCGACAACAAAAATCGGGCGCAAAATGTTATCAATCGAAAGCGATAAGGAACTCGGTCCGGATGGTCTGCACCCTGTACATTTTAAAGGTGATGAAGCTCCAGTGAGCAGTCTAACAACCTCCCTTTTAGAAGATTTGGAACAAACAACACGAACCGAATAGAGCCTCTCTACCGTGAACTCAGTATTTAAAAAAAGAGAGGGAAAGTCAGAATCTGTGATGGTGCCTGCCGATCCAAGATGCCTCTTCTGAATTTTCTCCTGCAAGAATATGCAGGTATGCAGCAAACAATCGCCTGAGTTCACCACGTCTAGTAGTGCAAAAGGCTGACTTCCTTCACCGTTCCTCTTCAAATTTGTTACTGATTTACCGCTTGAGACTTCTCCTAGTCTCTGAACACTCGAGGATAGAAATGCTCCCAGGACGTTCCTTTACAGAGACTGAGTTTTCTCCGGAGCATTGTTGACTTCTAGTGGCGATATCGAATTGGCAGTGCTGGGGTGCCAGACGGCTATAGGAAAACGCAGTCTCCTCAACAGGACGACTTATTAACCCTCCGTAGCCTATGTTGCCTGGGACATATACTTCACGTATCGGAGGACCGTATACCTCGAGAAGCTTTCTTGCCCAACCTTGTTTTGAGTGGCAACGACCGAGATGCGGACAGTCTGTGACCTATCAATGAAGAACGAAAGCAATAACCCGTACATTCAGTAGATACGGTTAAATCACAAATTCCATGGCGCTCCTGCATCAAAACTATTGCCTTGAGCTGTCCTACTTCCTGTTTCCGCAAACAACAATACCGATTCACCACCAGCGAACTGACTCTGATATGGCTCTGCCTCACATACTCCAGCGTTTTTCAGTGACCGAGACTGTCACAGGTAGAGCCAGCATACTCTTGGTACTTGGTTTATTGCTGGATTGAACTAGAATGAACGGGCAGTAAACCGTAGCTACCAGCTGCCGTGGTGTGAAAGCCAACTTAGCTTTAATTCATAGGGCACCCTGAATGGTCTTGTCCGTAGAGCACTTTTTAAGAAAGCATGACTTGAAAAACAAGTCTTACCACTTCGCACACTACCACCCAATTCGTGCATCACTTATTCAATCAGAAATGAGCGTGCGATTAATTCTTAGTACTACATGTAAGGTAACTGGGGAACGCGGTTATCTGAAAAACTCGAATATCAACCAAGTTTCCCTTCATCTAAAAACAGAATGTAGGCTACTGGGCCGGATGAGAAGGAACCAGTTAGGTTGATGGAGGAATCACAACCTAAAGAACAACAGAATCCCATGAATCATCGGTCCATGCAGGGAGTGCACACGGGCAACTCTTCGTTAATTAGGTTGAGTTTATAATTTTTCGATGCACTTTCTGTAGTTCTGTTGAAACTGACAATTCTGGCTCAGCTTTACTCCAAGGGTGTACACACCACTGACACAAACCAAATAGTTGAAACAAACCCAAATATAATGTGGTTCAAGCACTGAAGCGACATCATACTTATTGAACTGGAGCAGAATGAACAAACGAACCATCAGGGGCACGAGAACCAAAATGTAAGGAGATGGAAGTGCTTATTTCGTTACGGAATCCACTAACCCATGTAAGGACCAAATTTAGACAACACGCGCTTTTTGAGTTATTCGAGTGGTCTTCATATGGGGAGATGACTGTTGAAGATACCTCGCCCGTAAGCAACGTTCTCTCGTCGTTTGTTTTACTTGTAACATTTTGGAAACCCGTAGGTCGAATGTTTTTCTCCCACATTTTACTTGACACGCATAAAGAAGTACCGCGCTCCGGTTCCCGATGCGACGTGACTGGCGTTGAGAATAAAAACCAACCACAGAACCGGTATGTGACCGCAGCACAAGTCATCTGCGGCTCCTAACTGGAACGGCTCACCATGGTAACATCGTGCCCACAGAACAGGTGGCAAGAGCAATGAAATGACTATGAAAAGACTAGGGTGAAGTGAGGGACATGGTATCACTATGGGGTTAGACAAACAATGCATTCCACCTGTTCACTGTGATGGGATTTTTCGATTTATGTGCTCAAAAATTACACAGGAAAGGAATTCGTGAAAAAGTGAGAGTACAAACCCAGGTGCACTGAGATTTCAAGTGACAAATATGGAAACGAGGGATGAGTCGAAGACTGAGGACAAACCAACGACATTCAAATGGTATATGGTACGAAAGCGACTATACTTAGGAGAAATGCTGAGTTACAAGCACTCACCCGAATATCTGTCGTGCAACCGCCAGGATCAGAGAGGTCTTTCCCGTTCCCGGTGGACCGTAAAACAACAGGTTGGGCAACTGCCAAAGTAAACAACACTGGGGAATAACTTACATCTGCTCCTTCAACACATTTCCTCAGCACTGAAACGACTTCCGTCTGATAAGCAACTTCATCAATTGTTTTTGGTCGACTAAAATGAAGCAGTTGATAACCGTCAAAACATCGATCTACTATTTCTCCACCCAAGGGATGTGGGCCTGACTTTTGGGCTTCTTCGAAACTGGAGCAGAAGGCTTACGGTTGAAAGCGGACAAAAATGCATCCATATTTACCAAATACCAGAATGGTACTCTCTTCTGACCGGGTAGTGTGCTATGGTTGAAAACAATTGTGAGCAGGAAAGATATCAGTCGACACAGGGTAGATGGGAATCAATATTTGAACATATGAGTGAATCGTCAAAACAAAATAAACATGAGTGTGCTTATACTTCCAACAGAAGCTGACAGATAAAATGGCTTCTCAAAACTACGGTCCTGGTTGTATAAAATAGGTGGCTTCGAAACGTGAATCCGCTGCACAAAGATCGCCTCACATTTTAGAGATAACAGTGTATATGCTTGGCAAAACATACGACTCTTTGACAACACACCACCGGCTTCAACCTTCTAGGTGGTCAAGAAGCCGACTTCGTTTCAGAGTTTCGTGAACGAAATTAAACATTCTGTGGATTTCGTCAGGCCTTTCAGTCAGTCAACAGCACCGTCTCATAAGAGCGTTGCTGTCCATACAAATTTGTCAACCTCATTGAGACCTTACATACTCGGAGGGAAGCTCGGGTGTAGGTCTGAGCCACTACGTCGAACTACGTCTTAATAGACATAAGAGTGAAGCGGGGATCTGTTCTTACCCCAGCCCTTTTCAGCCTCTATTTAATAACCATCTGCGCGGAGGAGGTTTGTCAACACCAAGACGGTATACCAATTCAATAAGGGTTAGATGATAATCTGTTCAACTAGAAACGACCTTTGGTCTGAACACTGCTGTGTGAGTCTAATTTTCGTGTCACTAGTCGCGGACGACTGTGCCCTCCCTATATTCGCCTTCTGAGACAGAATTTTGTCAGCTCACTACGCCGTTCGGTTCAGCGGCGTCTCGCTTTGCCCTAAATAAACTCTTTTATGAAAAGTTTGTCTTTTATCAGCTCACACCGGGGACCCAACACAAGACACCATGCATTCTGCCAACTGGGTGTAAGATGGCATGCCGCGTGGACTTCTGCTATCCTGACAACACATTATCCACAGAGCTGACATTTGAGAATGAAGCAAAGTTCACAAGGCCCTTCGGTTCTTCTTGAGGAACACATTCGAGTAATTACCGCTCATGCAATCTTCACTGGTGTACGAGAGACCTGGAAACTTCGTAGACGGCACGTTCGGGTTCTTGACCCATCTCACTTACGATATCTGCACAGGTGCTTCGAATAAAATGGAATGACGGAATCCCCAGAACCCAAGTCTTTCAGAAGACAAGCGCCGTTAAAGTTGAATGCAGCTTGATGCGAATTCAGCTCCACCTGATAGGTTACTGTCGCTGGTGCACATTGTCATCCCATTTATTGTTAATTGGTCACATGGCTGTTGATCCGTTCGCTGAGCTTGGCAACTGATTTGCACACGTCTAGCTGTGGACGCCCTGGCAATATTCTAGCCCATGTACAACCATGAGTCTTACATACACAAATAAACTCGTCCTGTGATGCAAGCAGCGGGCGATTCCCTTCGTCCTGCGCCACTTTTGCAGGCAACATCTGCGTGTCATTAGGCACCAACATCCTAAGGCATCTCGAAATCAATCTTCATGCACAGACGCCCGGTCTATCTGACTGCCTCACATGTCCGTACTCTGAAGCAAGCAGGACAACAAGCTGCTCTTGATCTCACACTGGAATCGCTTGGCATTGATGGGTGATCTGTCTCAGGAGCAAGAATTCAAGATGCAAGCACTGTGGTTGAGCTAAATGCCCCATCATTCCACTCACCCCCTCCACTTCCGGCTACGAAACTCCGGCGATCAAGAGGCTGCTGCGGTGGGACGTACAGGGGTTTGTATCGTTCTGTCACCGGGCGGAAGGACCCCTTGCTGGATGTCGTTGATAGTCACCTCCTTGTGGTTTGTCTAACGTCTGCGAAGGAGTCTCACAGGCGAGAAGTTAGTCGCTGTCTTTTTGTCGTGCCTATTTCTCCCCCTCCCCAACTGACTGTACCTCTGGCGTCATCAAAGACAAGTATTATGATACCTTGATCTGTTATGGAGAGCTAGAAGCCCAGATATCAATGTGGTTGCCGGAGATCTGAATGCACAAGTAGGTGGGCTTAGTGTACCTGAGACCCAGTTATGTTATCAACGTAAATTGGGCTCGGTAGGTACGGACAGTTATGAACGATTACTTCATCCGTGTGCTGACGACAAGCCGGTTTTATGCAGTAATAAATTCCGAAATAGCCGAATTCGTCTGACCACATGGTGTCCCCCAACGGCGTGCCAGCTACGAACTCATATTAATCATATTTCCAACATTTACCGATGACGCGGATCTTAAACTGACTGCCATCGGTTTTGGAACACACCTGTGTATTTCGACAGAGCGCTCGTCAGGAGTAGCTTCTCCCTTCGTCTTCCAGGTGCAGACAAATCGCTTAGCAACTGACGGCTGAAAGAACGGGTATCATCATCACCATCATTGTCAGCTGCAAGAACCGCATACCTGCCGTACAGGGTTGTAGCTGCCACAGTCTCGTTCACCGACTATTTGGGGAGGTGAGGTAGATAGCTGCGCGTTGTAGGTCGGAGCAGATAAATTCGTGTGTAAATGCGGCGGTCAAAGGGCTGTCAAGTGGGGAGGAGGTTGAGAAGAAAGCTATGCACTGGAGGCAATAGCTTAGACGCAAGAGCGCCATTGAGGGCGGACTGGACTATGTCTGACAGTCTCCAACCATTGATTTGGCCCGTCTCGGGATGTTAGGGGGACTTCTGTAGTTTCTTCCGAATATCAACATTACCACAACTTTTCGATTCTTCATTTTTGTGACCTATGGTGAGTAAATGAACGGCCCCGTAGGATTTCAATAATAAATAGAACCTTAATCTGGTTTGTAAGCACTGCAACAGCGTTTTTAAGTGTTTGTTCCAGTCGCTATCCGTCTATGCGTAAGGTGTAACGTTTTTTTAAAATATAATCCTCAGCGACTTACACGGTCTCTACATGCATGTGATGGGAGTGTTATTGATACAAATCAGTGGTAACTAAAGCGTCATTCAGCGGCTATGTATAAACATACAGTCAAAAATGAGGTATTTTTCGTGCAGGTCCAACTTGTATGTAACGAACTAACGAGAAATTGTTTCCGAGTTTGTGGTAATAGCATCAGCCGTTTCTTTCAGGTGCCTCACCACATGTGAATTCACACTAGGACAAGATCACCACCTCCTCGCGCAGTGCTGGGAACTGTGTCTGTGACATGGCGCTACCAGGCCTACTCCAACAGTGAATATGAGACCGAACAGTGGCACTGCCTAAATCTTGGGGAAATATCCCAGTCAGTTCCGCAAACAACTTGACCCGACGAATTATCAGACGTCAAGTGAAACCGGGCGTGCGAAACGACTGTGAAGTGTAGTGTACACAGAAAGACAAAGAAATGGAAAAGGCCCAAAAAGCCGGTTGTTCGGAGGCCAGTCGCCCCCGAACACTACATCATTTGGAAAGACGTGTCTCGTGAAGGACACGGACCAGATGAAGGCATACCCCGATTGATCAGACTGCCAGCCAATCCGAGTCGAACATCTTTGACTCGATGCTCCTCGCCCCCTCACGGATATTCTGGCACGACTTTGTGGAACACTGTGACTACCCTTGTCTCCATAAAGGATTGTGTAGAGCTACCGTGCCTTTTGATGCACTATAGTGGGCGGAACAGGAAGCCAAGGGACCGACACAGAGTTGCAAAATCGTCCACCAAATCACAACACCCGTAATGCTTGAAAATTATTTCAGTTGGTCCGAGTGAACGGTCCCCGAAACTACGTGTGGGTGAAACCATCAAGGATCGGAAAACAGTGACCATCTTGAATTAAGAAGAACGCCTCGACCGTTGGGCAAATAATTCGGACAGCTACCGCTCAACTGGGGTCACTTTGGGGAAAAACTGGGGAGAATCGGTTAACGCCCTTTTCTGAAAAAAGGGGCTCATCATGTGTGCGCAATCACAGGGGGATCAGCTTGACTCTGGTCGTCGCCTTATGGTGGCCCGTGAAACAGACTCCAGAAAAGCAAACGGTATTCTGGTCTGGTGGGGTTTCGTTGGTCAAATCTTCACACTCCGTCACACAACGACACAGATCGTGTCGGTTATTGGTTTCCTGCTTCACGGACTGTGGTATATCAAAAGGCACGGCGACTTCAGACAGCCTTTTATGGAGCTAAAGCAAGATTATTACAACAGTATTTACAGGGTCATCACAGAGTATCCCAAAAGGTCGTGACAGGATCTCTGGGAGGGAGTGAGGGGCGGCGAGCTGAAGGTGCTCGATTGGCTGACATTCTGACCAATCAGGGTGGCGGCCGGATCCGGAAATCTCATCCTTGAGAAGGCTTTTCAACTCACCTCTGCTATGGAATCAGCTGTGACGCGTAATACAGGTTCATAACTGGGGTTGTATGTATGCGTATGGGCCTGCGTCCTACGTGGAGAGCATTCCTCATATCCCCGTATCAATATCTGGCCTCTGTGGGACTGCTGTAGCCTCTTCTCCACCGCCCCTAAACTCTGTGGCTTTCTGGATAGCAGTGGAACGA